AATTAACTTCTCATGATCAGAGTTCCTCGCTCTCTGGTATGCCTTCCTCAAGCACTTCTTTTTATATCCCTTTATGGTAAATCTCTAACGTAGATTTAATGCTTTTTTTCAAAATCTGAAGGATCAGAGCAATTTCTTCGTGCTCTTAAATATTGACCGATAGGGATACCCTGAATTAAAGGGTGAGGATGAAAGCTCCTAGCATCCAATAGATTTTTTGTAGCTGTAGGTTTCCTAAACAACTTCATTCTCACCCCTGCATTTCCATCTAGTTCAACTTCCAGATCCAGGAAGGTCACTTTCTGAATATTATATTCATTAGTAAACTTCAAATTGTAAGGATTAGGAGCTAAGCCACTAACAAAAGCCTGAACTAGTTCCACAGTTCCAGTCCAGAAGATGAGGACGTCGTATATGTATCTGTACCAGGGTAATATCCTGGAAAGACACACCAACGAAGCTCCCCCACCATCAAATAGCTAGGATTCTCAATCCCCCAAGTAGATGTTAGCATATGCAGGGGCACCTTTGGTCCCCATAGCTGTGCCTTGGGCTTGGAAAAAGGACTTGTCACCAAACTGGAATTTGTTGTGGGTCAGGAGAGATTCCAACAGGTCAACAATGAATTGGCTATGTTTATGTTTGTCTATTGCTCTACTACTTAATGTCTTCTTAATGACATGAAGTCCCTTGGAGTGTGGAATTGAGGAATAAAGAGCTTCAATATCCAGGGTAAGAAGAATGGTACCTGGAGGGATGGTCAAATAATGTAAAAGTGTCAAAAGATGTTGAGTATCCCTAACTTATGAAAACTGATTGATTACAAAAGGTTGAAGAGTTTTGTCTATGTATTCACTAGATTTTTCAGTTAGGGTTTCTATCCCAGAGATTATCGGACGACATGAAGGGTCCTCAATTGATATATGTATTTTAGGGAGGGCATAGAATACTGGGATCCGAGGGTGCGTAACCTTTAGAAATTCGACTGTTTCCTTGTCGATAATGTTCATAGTGGGCCTGATCTATGATGGAAAATAGGTGTATTTTTTCCTGTTCTAAATTTATGCCAGGGATAGGGGTATAGTCTGCAGGCAAATAGATAAATATCTTTAACCACCTCAAGGATGTTACTCTCAGAATGGGAAAAAGTAAGCCTTTTAAGAAGAAGAGAAAGTTGGGCATCAGAGAGTTTGCCCTTAGAAATTTTAACAACCCTTAAATTCTCTTGTTCTCTGGTGGTATCATATATTGATCTATCCCATATTTCTTGGGGAGAGGTGTAAACATTGTTTGAGTGGTCACCCTCTGGGGTGATGTTGGTCCCACCATTCTCAGTGTGTTTATCACCAGTTGGCTGGTAACCAGAGTGTGATCCAGGACTTCCCAATATCCTATATCTACAATTCCTCCTCATTCTGCGCCTTTTAGACATCCTTCGTTTTTTGACTGTGATAGTTGTTGTGGGTACCTCTTTTCCAAACCACCTCTTGTATTAGGACCTCCAAACTCACTTTCCTCTAATACATATAAATGATGTAGCGCTACTCACATTTTCTAAATAAATACATACATATATATGTGAATAAAAAACTAGTGACAAACTGTGTGAACAAACACAATAGTGTAATCAAACTGGAGCTAAACACTCCATTCAGGTGCCACAATCTGAAATCGAATATGTGAAACAACAGTGAAACAATGCACATCCATGCTGTGTGACGCATAAATGAAATAACACAAATAATTAAATCCTAACCAGGATAGGATGGTGATAGTGAATGGTGGTCCAATATCAGCCAGTGATGTGTCTATACCACTATAGACTCAATAGCAAACGCATGAACATGCAAAAAAAACCTTGTGCATGAAAAATAATAATAAATGCGCTCACCAAATACCTGCTAGTGCTCAAACGTAAATAACAAAAAATGTAAACCGCAAATGAAGTACAATATTAATTGAACATATAAAATGTATAAATAGGTGAGATGGGTGTATGTTTACAACAAAAATAAAAGTGACAAATCTTTATTCTAATATTGTGAAAAAACACACACGCTTTGATCAAACTAAATTGTCTGATCTGTGCACCAAAGTCCAATTTGGTGTTGATAACACCACTTAATCCAAATCCATAAACACACTCGTGCTGATGTTAGTGACTGTGGGTCACGAAAATCCAACAGGTGGCTAGATTAGCCTCTCACCTCACCGTACGGGTCAAAGTGTTTATTTGGGATCACACCCTCAGATCCTTCAAGCATACAGCCTCTCCACTGGTCTGCTCTCCCCACATATAGATCTCCGTTTTAGGGTCAGCTCTCAGGTAGTGGCTCCTCTCCAAATACAGGTATGGGTATGTACCAATATCTCATTTAGAAAACATAAACACAGCTTCCCATAGTGTAATATGTTTATTCCAAAGAGGTCAAAGAAAAGTAATAAAGTTTGCACTCACATTTGTCTTCAGCATACAAAAGCGTTTAACCTCATGCTTTTAGGTGTACTCTGCATGTGTGTATGAACAAGGTGTGCCAAGATGGCGTCCACGCCGGAAGTGCGTCACTACGTTCTGGCCTACGCATTACGTCACAATACCATGTGACTTCCCCAGGGCTCTTTACGTGTTGAATCCCCAAATACAGAAAGGTTTCTTCATAGCAAGAGCTGTGAAAATGTGGAATAGACTCCCTCAAGAGTTGGTTCTGGCCAGCTCAGTGGATTTCTTTAAAAAAGTCCTGGATTCTTTCCTAGATACACAGAATATAACTGGATAGTTACGACTGATCCTAGGAATGTCCGATTGCCTCTCAGGGGATCAGGAAGGAATTTATTCCCCTGCAGGAGCAAATTGAATCATGCTTTGCTGGGGTTTTTTTTTGCCTTCCTCTGGATCAACTGTGGGTAAAGGAATATACCTTTTTTTCTTTTTTAGTTGAACTGTATGGACTTTTGTCTTTTTTCAGCCAGACTACCTATGTAACTATGTAAAACTGCTACAACCTGAGCTAATTCCCTCAGTACAGTTTGCAGGGTTGACAGTGATGAAGGTGCCAAAGCCTCCTCCTTGAAGTACACCATTCATACTTTTTGGTCACTGCTACAGACATATCTGCCTCCTCTTGCTCTCAGGCAACTACAACGACCACTGCATCATGGAAGTTTGTTGTCGTTTGTGCTTTAACCTTCTCTGCAATTAATAAATCCCTCAGCATGTGATCGTAGTCAGTTATGTCAGTGCAGCCGCACACGTCACACTTCTTTAGGCACCACCAGAGGTTCTGCATAGCCACCGCATAATGGGTGATGTTCTTATCCTTCTGCTGTTTCCTATATAAGAACCTCAGCTTTGGCAGCTGTATCTTCTCCCCAATGAGGCCCTCAAGGTGATACAATCTGTTCTACATTGACCTGTTTCTTCTTATGGCAGTGTCATGACAACTTTGCGGGTATCCTGGATAGTCAGCTCCACTATTAGCCTGGCCAGGGCCTGGTACAGGCACGTAGCACTCTCTAGCCTCTCTTCCCATTAAGCCAAGGGGATTTTGAAGTAATTGAACTTGGGTATCAGAATTAAGGCCGACCATAGGGGAGCCATGCTGGAGCCCAGTCCTCCTTCCTCACCCTGTCAGGGCTCCCGGGAATGACCAGAGGTGTGTGACTGACGCAGGGAAACGCAGACTTCAGATATGTTATAAACAATATAATTTATTGACACTAACAATACAAACATAAACGCAGTGCAATACTAAAACATAACACAGTGCAAACAAACCAAACCAACCACCCACAGATAACAGTACATACAATGCAAGCGTCGTCAGGCAGGCCGGGTCAATATCAATCGGGCAGGTAGGTACAGGGGGAGCAAGCGGAGAGAATGGTCGGGGTCACAAGCCAGGTTCAGCAGGTAGCAGGCAGCGTGGTACAGAGGGTCAGGCAGAGGGATGGTCAGGAACGAGCCGGGGTCAGAGCAGGAGAAGTCAGCAGAGGTCAGATCAGGCAGGGTCAGCAACAAGACAGGAACAGGAACAGGATGCAGGAACAGGATACAGGGCCCAGGCAAAACACACACACCAAGGCAGAGTCTGCAGGTCTGGCCATACCTTAAATACACCAGTATAAGCAGTTTCAGGTGTTTAGCTGGCTGCAAGGTTGAGTCTCTGATTGCTGGGAGCACCCGATGGCCAGCCCTGGTACTGCAGCCCATAAGGCAGGCGAGTCCCACCATTGCTGGCCAGTCCATTCCTGACAGTACCCCCCCCCCCTCAAACGCTCCAAACAGTCCTAGCTGGGCAAAATGTTCCACCGCCCGGGTCTGGTAACTGGCGGGAAATCAAAGACTGGCACACCGGGCAGGACTCCGGGCAGCGGCACACCGGGCAGGACTCCGGGCAGCGGCCCATCGGGCAGCGGCACACCGGGCAGAGGCACATCGGGCAGAACTCCGGGCAGAGGCACATCGGGCAGCGGCACACCGGCCAGCGGCACATCGGGCTGGACTCCGGGCGGAGGCACATCGGGCTGGACTCCGGGCGGAGGCACATCGGGCTGGACTCCGGGCGGAGGCACATCGGGCTGGACTCCGGGCGGAGGCACATCGGGCTGGACTCCGGGCGGAGGCACATCGGGCTGGACTCCGGGCGGAGGCACATCGGGCTGGACTCCGGGCGGAGGCACATCGGGCTGGACTCCGGGCGGAGGCACATCGGGCTGGACTCCGGGCAGAGGCACATCGGGCTGGACTCCGGGCAGAGGCACATCGGGCTGGACTCAGGGGAGAGCAGCAGGCAGCGGGCCACCAGGCGGGCAGCAGGCCCCGGGCCCCCAGGCGGAGCACATCGGATCAGCAGGCGAAGCAGCAGGCAGCGGGCCCCCAGGCGGAGCAGCAGGCCCCGGGCCCCCAGGCGGAGCAGCAGGCACCGGGCCCCCAGGCGGAGCAGCAGGCACCGGGCCCCCAGGCGGGGCGACAGGCATCGGGCCCCCAGACGGGGCAACAGGCATCGGGCTCCCAGATGGGGCGACAGGCATCGGGCCCCCAGACGGGGCGACAGGCATCGGGCCCCCAGATGGGGCGACAGGCATTGGGCCCCCAGGCGGAGCGGCGGGCGCCGGGCCCCCAGGAGGGGCGACAGGCATGGGGCCCCAGACGGAGCGACAGGCATCGGGCACCCAGACGGGGCAACAGGCATCGGGCCCCCAGGTGGGGCGACAGGCATCGGGCCCCCAGGCGGGGCGACATGCATCGGGGCCCCAGGCAGGGCGACAGGCATCGGGCCCCCAGGCGGAGCGGCGGGCGCCGGACCCCCAGGCGGAGCGACAGGTCTCGGGCCCCCAGGCGGAGCGGCGAGCGCTGGACCCCCAGGCAGAGCCACAGGTCTCGGGCCCCCAGGCGGAGCGAGCGGCGGGCGCCGGACCCACAGGCGGAGCGACAGGTCTCGGGCCCCCAGGCGGGGCGGCGGGCGCCGGACCCCCAGGCGGAGCGACAGGTCTCGGGCCCCCAGGCGGAGCGGGCGGGCGCCGGACCCCCAGGGAGCGACAGGTCTCGGGCCCCCAGGCGGAGCGGCGGGCGCCGGACCCCCAGGCGGAGCGACAGGCACCCGGGTCACCAGGCCCGACAGTGGGTTCCGAGTCAACTGGCATGACCGCTGGCACTGGGTCAGACAATGGATCGTCTGGCTGGACAGCGGGCATCGGGTCACCAGGCATCAGGTCACTTGGCTCGACAGCGGGCACCGCGTCATCTGGCAAGGCAGTGGGCTCCGAGTCAACTGGCATGACCGCAGGCACTGGGTCAGACATTGGATCGTCTGGCTGGACAGCGGGCATCGGGTCACCAGGCATCAGGTCATTTGGCTCGACAGCGGGCACCGCGTCATCTGGCAAGGCAGTGGGCTCCGAGTCAACTGGTATGACCGCGGGCACTGGGTCAGACATTGGAACGTCTGCTGGACAGCGGGCATCGGGTCACCAGGCATCAGGTCATTTGGCTCAACAGCGGGCACCGCGTCATCTGGCAAGACAGTGGGCACCAAGTCACCAGGCACGACAGTGGGCTCTGACTCAATTGGCACGACAGCGGGCACCGGGTCATCAGGTACCGGATTGTCTGGCTCGACAGCGGGCATCGGGGTCACCAGTTATGACAGCGGGCACTGGGTCACCAGGCATCAGGTCATTTGGCTTGCCAGCGGGCACCGCGTCATCTGGCAAGGCAGTGGGCACCAGGTCACCAGGCATTGGATCGTCTGGCTCGACAGCGGGCATCGGGTCACCAGGTATGACAGCGGGCACTGGGTCACCAGGCATCAGGTCATTTGGCTCGCCAGCGGGCACCGCGTCACCTGGCAAGGCAGTGGGCACCGAGTCACCAGGTATGACAGCGGGCTCTGAGTCAATTGGCACGACAGCGGGCACCGGATCAGGTACCGGATCATCTGGATCAACAGCGGGCATCGAGTCAACTGGCCTAATAGGATCATCAGGCTGGATCAGTTCATCATGCTGGGTAGAGGCATTAGGCTGAGTGGAGGCGTCAGGCTGAGTGGAGGCATCAGGCTGAGGAGAGGCATCAGGCTGAGGAGAGGCATCAGGCTGAGGAGAGGCAAGAGAGCTGAAGAGAGCTTCAGGCTGAAGAGAGGCATCAGAGGGCATCCTGAAGAGAGGCATCAGCTGAGAGAGGCTTCAGGGTCAGGCTGAGGAGGCATCAGGCTGAGGAGAGGCATCAGGCTGAGGAGAGGCATCAGGCTGAGGAGAGGCATCAGGCTGAGGAGAGGCATCAGGCTGAGAGAGGCTTCAGGCTGAAGAGAGGCTGAGGCTGAAGAGAGCATCAGGCTGAATAGAGGCATCAGGCTGGGTACAGGCATCAGGCTGGGTACAGGCATCAGGCTGAAGTGCGGGCGGGTGCCGAGGCACCAGGCTGAACCACGGAAGGCAGGTTCTCAGACGGCAGGCTCACCGGTTTTTGGATACTGGCAGGATGGTATTGGTTGGAAAGAATTTCCGCTTTTTTCTGGTTTTAACTACTGGAGCACTGCAAGTAAACGCAGGTCTGCAAACGAATGGAGCAGCTGGAGACAGAGAAGAGCTGGAGGATGGAACAGGAGAGGGAACAGTTGCTACAGAGGGCTTTTTTACAGGGTTAAAGGCAGGATAGGTGCAGTGAGTGGGAACAGGGTACTGACATGCGGTAGATAGCAGGGCAGGAGGAGCTGTTGGGAATGCAGGAATAGAGCTTTGAGGAAATAGATTAGAAGCAGGACTGGGTTTTTGTAGGCTGACTGAGGCTGGGTGCAACAAATCTGTCCATGTCTGCAGTATGGGTTGAACAAAGCTGAGCTTACACAAAGCCTGTCTGACCAAAGACTGCACTGCGTTTTATACAATCTCTTAATACCTGTGGTGAACATGCAGCATAATGCTCCAAGAAGCAATCCACATCATCCTCTAATAACCATACCAGGGACTCTACCTGGTCGGCACTAAATGGTGGCAAAAATTCATCCCTGCATTGGGGGGTACCAGATGAAACCAACTCCGCACAAATCTGAATCAGTGGCTGCACCTCAGAGAATTCTGTGCCCTGATCTACTAGAACATGAGCGAGCCGTATACATTCTAGTAGTTCATCCCGGGGATACTCCTTCAGAGTTTGATAAGCATACTCTCTGTCATCAAACACTAGCAGATATAAATACACAACCTCATCCTGATCCATCCTTCCCATCAACAAACCAAGATGGCTTCCCTGTGCAGCCACTTCTGGTCAGGATTGGCCTTGGTGTAATGTCAGGGCTCCCGGGTATGACCAGAGGTGTGTGACTGACGCAGGAAAACGCAGACTTCAGATATGTTATAAACAATATAATTTATTGACACTAACAATACAAACATAAACGCAGTGCAATACTAAAACATAACACAGTGCAAACAAACCAAACCAACCACCCACAGATAACAGTACATACAATGCAAGCGTCGTCAGGCAGGCCGGGTCAATATCAATTGGGCAGGTAGGTACAGGGGGAGCAAGCGGAGAATGGTCGGGGTCACAAGCCAGGTTCAGCAGGTAGCGGGCAGCGTGCGTGGTACAGAGGGTCAGGCAGAGGGATGGTCAAGAACGAGCCGGGGTCAGAGCAGGAGAAGTCAGCAGAGGTCAGATCAGGCAGGGTCAGCAACAAGACAGGAACAGGAACAGGATGCAGGAACAGGATACAGGGCCCAGGAAAAAACACACACCAAGGCAGAGTCTGCAGGTCTGGCCATCCCTTAAATACACCAGTATAAGCAGTTTCAGGTGTTTATCTGGCTGCAAGGTTGAGTCTCTGATTGCTGGGAGCACCCGCTGGCCAGCCCTGGTACTGCAGCCCATAAGGCAGGCGAGTCCCACCATTGCTGGCCAGTCCATTCCTGACACACCCACTGCAAGGGACATATCCTGACAACTGCCACCACACATGGGGAGGCACAGCTTGGTGCAGCAGCAGTGAACACACAGAGTCCAGTTGCAATAAACTTGATATTTGTATTGAGCAGGATGCCAACATTACAAACACCCAAGTGGGAGGGCATAGTTTAGGGAAACACCCAATTCAATGCAGACAAATATGTGGCGAGATGAGGAGAGATGCCCACAGTGTCTGTTTCAGAGGGTGAAGTGTGGCCTGGCTGGACTATTTCCAAGTGTGGAGACTTCTTTCCAGGGTGGCAAGTCCCTAGCCTGTTCCTTCTTATCTGGAACCTTTCCTTACCACTGGTTATTTTTCCTAACAAGCAGTGTCTCTCTCCCTACACTAGCCTCTCGTAAAATGCACGCCAAAACCTTGGGGCAGGGACTTACAGTATATAGCTCACAGTCTCTGTGCCTTCATATCTTGGTGAAAACTACTCCATCGATTTCGATTTCTTGACCTAGGCTCTCAGAGAACAAAAAGAGAAGGAACATATCTCCAATGGTGGGGTCACAGACAGAACAAAAAAAAGACAAAAACAAAGCTGATCTCTGGGATAAGCAAATACGTGAGGCATGTGTATCGTGGTGTGCTTTGTGTATTTCTTTCAGATCTGTGCATTAACCCAGTGTGAAACCTTTACATGTGATAGTAACTGTCAATTTAAAAAGTTATTGGAAAAAAAAATAAAATAAAAAATTATAGATATACACACACAGTATATATATATATATATATATATATACTGTATATGGCAATTGTAACCACTGGGAAAATATAAATGCTGAATACACAGTCCATACATATGTTTTAAGTACCCCTTGACCCTTGATAGCCAGCCCTCATGCTTTTGCCTTGTAAATTATGATTCTGCTCTCTCCATCTGAATTTTTTTAAAGAAAATCACATCAAAGGAGGAAACAAGTCAAGGGAAAACCATCATCTGCTATTTTTCTTGCTCTATTCAATTGTGATTTTCATGTCTCAGACCTAGTTTTTCCATTACCTCTAAATGGTAGTCACAGAATTTTCTGACAATCACTAGTCTGAATGGAAAAAAGTGAAGTTCACACTGGGTCATGCAAAGGAGTATGGAAATGTAAAACTGTCACAGGAGAACAGATTACAGAAATAATAGCATGAAATCTTATTAGTAAGACACCTTAGAGTGCATGCTATTATCCACTAATGCCAAGCTTATATTTACAAGGTCATGACGTACTCTGAAAAATAATCTCCTGCAGGCAAATCAGTCTATAGCTTTTTTTAACAAATGAATAATAATCTCAATGGTAAATATGGATACATCAAAATGTCAGTGTATACGATTCTGGATTCTCTTTTTTCATTAACAAAAATGTGACAGTGCTGAGATCTGTAAGCTGTGCAATAAAAAAAAAAAGCTTACAGCTTCAAGTACACTGCCGCTGTCAAATGCCTGTTTTACGCGCGTTTGAGTTTTTTTTCTGCCCCTAAATTCCCCCTGTTAGCCTATGTATCCGTGCGCACAAAAGCATTTACAGGCATTTAGAGGCAGGGGCGTTTAGAAGCAGAAATGTGAACGCACCAAAATCGTGTTCAGGAGAAGAGCTTTTGGACAGAAAAAGCACTTGACGCATTTAAATACGTGTAAATGCATCTATATGCTCCTAAATGGTAGGTGTGTTTAGTACTTGAGCATCCATTCATTTCAATGGCTGGAATAAATTACTATTCAGGCCAATGAAATGAATGAACACCCAAAGGCTTGTCGGCCAGCAAAGCATCTAAACGCATCTAAACTCATTTGAAAAATGCGGCTTTTCTCCTGTCAGGAGAAAAGCGTTTAGAAGAGCATAGTGTGCATGAGGCTTAAAACCCAACTCCAGGAAACTTTAAAATGATCCCTTAAAATATTTACTTACCTGATCCTTTTGTCGAATAGACTGGTCCCCGCAATGTCTTTTTCCCCAAACTCCAGTGGTCTAAGGTCGTTATGTCATAAAAAACAATGCAGGTGTATGACACCAAGAGATAGTCCAGCATTAGAGTGTGGCATAGGGAGCACTGCCTACCAGGGGAGTGGAGGCTAGGGTACGTAAAGTATGTAGACTGTAGAGCTGCTGTGTGCAGGGGCGGACTGACCATTT